GATCAACTTTATGCCAATAAATTCAAAACTTAGTTGAAAGAGATAAATCTCTTATAAGAGACAGACTGAAAGCTCTCTGAAAAAGAAAGGAAGAAACTGTGTAGTTCTCTACCTAGTAAAGGGCTTGAATCCATAGTTAGAAACTTGTCACAAAGAAAATGCCTACCCAGATGACTTCACAGAAGAACTATACCAAACATTAAGGGACAACTGCAGGTTTTCCAGAAAATAGGAGGGAACACTTCTGAGGCCAGTATTACTCTGACACCAAAACCAGACAGGCATTACAAGAAAACCATAGACCAATATCTTTCATGAAAATATATACACATATGAAAAATTATAACAAATCAAATCCAACATCATGTACATATGTGTATTTACATATATATGAAGCTAATACTTTGTGACCAAGTATGATTTATTCCAGGAATGCAAGGTTGGTTTGACATTTGAAAATCAATCAATGTAAATCATTATAATTAACAGATGAAAAATTATATCACATCATCTCTGTATATATAAGAAAATCATTTAATAAAACTTGATATCCACTCATAATACAAACCCTCAGCAAAGAAGAAATAAAGAGGAGTGTTCTATCTTTGAAAAGGAGACTCTATAAAGCCTTTACATCTAATATCGTACACAATGGAGGAGACATTCAATGCTTTCCTCTAAGGTCAGAAGAAGGAGAACTGTCTGCCCTAGCCACCTCTACTCAACATGCCACTGGAGGAAAATAGGAAAGGACATCTGTATGGCAAAAGAAGTAAAAGTGTTTATTTGAAGATGATATGCTTCCTACATAAAAATGTATTTCCTATGTAAAAATCCCACAGAATTTATAAAAAGTTACCAGAACAATGACTGAGTTTAGTTAGTTTGCAGGATAAAAGGTTAAGACACAAATAGGTTATTTTGGTTTCATATAATAGCTACACATAGTCCAAAGCTGGAATAAAAATATTATGAACAATATTATGATTCCAATATAAGATGACTAGGGAACAATCTTACAAAGTATTTGCAAGTCTTGTGCACTGAAAACTAAAACACAGCTGAGAGAAGCTATAGGACCTAAATATATGGAGGGATGCATCGGACCCATGGGTTACCAGTCTCAATATTTTTATGATGTCAGTACTCCCCAGATGGATTTAATTCATAGCTATCCCAGTGAAAACCCAGTTAGCTATTTTGAAGAAAATGACCAACTGTATCTAATATTCATATGAGCATGCAAATGAGCTAGATTAGCCAAACTACTGAAAAGGAAGAATGGCCCTAGAATTACACTCCTGACTTCAAGGTTTATTAAGAAGCTTCAGTATTCAAGACAATGTGGGATTGGTGTCAAAATTCCCAGATGGATCAGTGAACTAGAGGAGAGATGGGGGATGACTCTTCCATTGCCCTCTGACCCCCCTATCGTCCCTGGAAGGCTGTCGTGAGACAGAGTCCTATTGTCTCTTGGGTTCTGATGAGCTGTGGGCCTTCCTGCCTCACCCCTTCAGAACAGAGCTGCGGACCCTAAACTGCAAAGCCCAGGTCTAGACTTGGATCTCAGCCTGGGGCACCCTTCCACCCACATTGCCACCATCCAGCCTCCTTTGCTTGGATGTCATCATTTCTGGGGTGTGGGACGGAGTAAGGACCATGAGGAGCTGGCACCTCTAGCTAGTCTTTCACTGTTTACACAAAAAGCGGTTCCTGGCGTCTTGTGTATAATTGAGAAGACCGTTCAGAATGAAACCCACATGTATGGAGTCAATTGGTTTTTGACAAAAGTACAAAGGGAACAGAGTGAAGAAAGTAAAGGGTTTTTGACAAATCGTCAAACTCTGTACACCCCGTTGGATATGCAGTTTTGGACCAGCTGGACACCCATAGGCAAAAATGAGCCAAACACACACTTCACCCCATACCTCACTCTCTATAGATCCAGAAATTAACTCCCAATGGAGCACAGCCATTGTTCTGGAGCAGTCCAGTTCTGCTGTGTGAGGACCAGCCCCAAGATGTTGTCACATGTGGAGAGTGGTGACAGTGACTGGGAGACCAGTGTCTGAGACTGGGGTCCCTGATGACTTCATGGCTGTGGTATGCCACCAAGTATACTTGGTGACTGGGAAAGTTTCTGTGCAAAGGCATAGGATGCCTGGTTGCTGTGGAGATGTCCTCCATGCTAGAGTCTTATCAGCTTCAACCTTATTCTCAGGCAGGGCAGCTCCTGGGAATGAGAGAACTTCCTTGCTGAGATAACCACAACATTTGACCAGCTTTGCTGCTCCTGAATCTGCCTGAGAATTAGTAACTTTAAACAATGGACTTTCTTGAGCTGCCCAAGGCTCCCAACATTGCACATTGCAACTGTAGCATATAACTGAGGAAGTAGCTGCATACTGTTGCTAACTCTGTAACTTTCATGAATACAAAGAAAAACCACTTGGATAGTCTTTAATCTGATTTAGAGACATATAATAAAGATTGCTGGTGTAATTCTTTAGATCTGCTTCTCCATCAGAGAGCAGCACTCCACCCGACCCCAGTGTTTTATCTTCGAGGTCTGTGTGTGTTGACTCTTTATTTCTTCCAATCTCTCATCACTCTTTGGGGGAAGCTGCTAGTTTGGCCGCGCTGGTCACCGCAGTCGAGGCTGAAGGGAAAAGGCAGGTAGATCCAGGATTGCACAGAATGCAATTTATTGGGGGACTGACTTAACACTTGGATTCCTGCAATATGGGTCACCAAAGGGGCATATTTATGGGTTAGGACAAAAGTGACTTTATCCTTGATCCTGTTTTATCTTAGGCTAATATTAAAGTGCCAGGCACTTCCCTGGAGCCAGGGTCTGGTTATAAAGCTCCATATACAACTCTAGTGTTTTTGTCTATTTATAGTTGAATGGGAAACTGCAGGAAAAATAGGCTACCTTGGGCCATCATGGCAGAAGTGCCTCAATATGACTGCCATCATGTCAAGCTGAATCCACACAGACTTAAATCTAAAAATGTAAAATTATGAAATTCATAGAAGAAAAAAGGAGAAACTCTTTGTGAGCTTCTTGGGTTATGCAAAAAGTTTTTTAAATACAACCCCTAAAAGAAAAAAAAAATGATACATTGGATTCAAAATGAAGAATTTCTGTTCTTCAAAAGACACTGTTCAGAGAAGAAAATAAAAACCAGAAACTAGGAGATGACATTTGTTCAACACATATGTAACAAGGGACTTTTACCTAAAATATATGAAGAAATCCGAAAAATTAATGAAAAAACCCAAACAACTCAATTTTAAAAATGGGCAAGAGATTTGAACAGACACTTCACCCAGTAAGACACACGGATGGTAAATAATTAAATTGAAAGAGACTGAATATCACTAGTCATCAGGGAACACCAACCCAAACCACAAAGAGCTACTTCTATACCCCTGTTAGAATGTCTGCAGTTAGTGGCTGACCACACTAAGAACTGGTGAGGATGGGAAGCAGACCCTGGGACATGGGTAGTGGGAGTGTAAAGGGCACTATGGAAATTAGTGTGGCAGTTCCTTAAAAAGAATCTTCTTAATCCTGTCACATGTTCCACCCATTCCAATCCTGTGTATTTATCCAAAAGAAATAAAAGTTTATGCCCATACAGAGGGTTAGTAGCCACTTTATTTGTAATAGCTGGAAACTGGAAATGATCAAATGTATTTTAGCCGTAAATGGATAAGCACAGTAGTACAGCCACACCATGGAACAGTACTCCAAGATAAACCGGAAGGAGCTATAGATACACACTATGACACTGATGAGTCTCAGAATAATTATGTCGAAAGAAGGCAGACAAAAAAGAGCATATTCCATTAATATGAAATTCTAGAAACTGCTAAAAAAATTGCTGAAAATTGCAGAAAGCAGCTCAGTGGGTGGATGGGAAAGAGAGTGTGGGGCCTAGGAGCTTTTGGTGAGGTGGATGGGTTCACCACCTGGGGGACGGCGACGGTTCGCGAATGTGTACCTGTGCCCACGTTTGCCAAAGCCAGAACCCTGTTTCTTTCGCTCACTCTCCAGAGTGGTGGGGGTCTGAGTCCTGAGTCCCCACGCTGAACCGGGGGGACTCTTCTTTGGTGGCGCCCCTGCCTCCGTGTCCAGGAGCCCAGTAGTCCTGTTGCCCGCTGCCCTAGCCCTCCGGGTGCAGGAGACCTGTGTAATTCGGGCAGTTGGTGGGGGAACAGCAGGGCGACACGACCACTCTGCCTGGGTGATTTCATTTGATCCTCACACCAAGGAGGCAAGCCACACAGTCAGAACCCAAGCCGGGACGGGAATACTGGAGTAAAAGCAAGGTCAACGCTAAGCGATGCCAGAGGGACACTGAGCCAAGTCCTGTACAGTGACACTTGGCCCCGCCGCCTCTGCCGAGACGCTGCGGTCCCCGAGTGGAGGACGCTGTCGGGTCTGCGGTGTGGGCCGCGAACCCGGCGCCGCACAGCCTGGGCGGGGGCGAGGCCCGCACAGCTCCGCTTCCCGCGGGCCTCGGAAGCCCCCGCCCGAGGAGCTAACCATTTATGTCACACTGTGACAATTATTCTGCATAAAATTATCATTAAAAACCCTAATTTTTCAGCCTCCAACCCCGCCAGCGGCCTTTTAGCATTCTCCAGCGCGCGTCTGCGGGCGCGATCGGCGCGCTCATTACCGCGGCGTGGCGCCTCCCCGCGCTCGCAATCAAGCGCTAATTAACGCGCCCGGGGGCCGGCGGCGGGGCGGGGCCTGGGGGCGGGGCCAGTGCGCGCCTGGGGCCAAGTCTGGGGTCCAGGGTCAGGGGTCCTGGATCTGGGATGTGGGACCGGAGCTGGGGAAGGGGCCCCGGGGTATTCGGGTCCCGGGACTGGCGGCCGAGGGCGCGTCCCCGCCCAGGGTCGGAGTCCGGGAGGAGTCCCGAGGCCGGGTCCTAGGTGTGGGTGGAGTCCGGGGCGGCGGCTGTCCCCAGCCCAGGAGCTCTTACCCGAGCGAGGCGGTCGTGCGGCACAGGTGCAGGGGCGCCAAGCCCTCGGAGCTGGGAAGGTCCGGGTCGGCCCCGTGCTGTAGTAGCAGCCGGGCGCAGGCCGTGTGGTCCCCGAGGCAGGCCTCATGCAGGGGCCCGCGGCCTCCAGGGCTGGCGTCGGGGTGAGCGCCGCGGGAGAGCAGGTGTCGCACGCAGGCCGTGTGGCCATGGGCTGCTGCGATGCACAGGGGCGTGGTGAGCTCCCGCTTGTACTCCAGGGTCCAGAGGCCTGGAAGGGGGGGGGGGTAAGGTGTGAAATGATGGGGTTGGTGGGGAGCCTATGGGGTCGCGCTACACTAAGGCGGGAGAAGCAGGAGACAATTGCTTGGCGGTAGGTACCAGGTGCACCTGCAGGGGACACACCCGAGAGTATAGAGGGACAGAGAGCTGTGAGACACACTGAGCAAGACAGAGGTGTAGACAGGGAAGAGACAGAGAAGGAAAGGTTGGGAAGGGTACAGCTGAAACCGAAAGGTTGTGGGGTAGCTGGGAAGGAAGAGGCTTTCCAAATATGGGGGTGACTGAGAAAGCTGGTAAGATTCAAGTAGTCAGAAGCCCACCCCGCCGACGCAGAGGGGGAATCTAAGGGCAGAATTCACATTTTCCAAGCTCCGAATTAGGGATGACCTGAGAGAGGAGAGTGGGCAGTGGAATTTTCCAGAATTCAGCCCTATCTGGGTCAACTGCCAAACTTACCTCTTTATGATTAAGAGAAGACAAACAGACAAAACAAACTGACCCACCTCACCCAGATTGTCCAAGAAAAGCACTGGGAGAAAGTTTAGCCCCCTTGGAAGTGGCTGAGTTTTCGAAGGCCTCTTTGATGTGGCCGTCCACATTCAGCACAATTCTGGTTTGTTTCTCTGCGCTTTTGAGGGGTGTGTGTATATATAGGGTTGTTCTTTCTTGAGGGATGAATGGAGCAGGTGCTATACATTTCACTTCTCTGAAAACTTTGGTGCTTTCAAAAAGCCCGTGGAAGGTTGTTAGCAGCCAGGAGCACTCGTGGAAATGGGGGGAGGTGTCCCTGGTGAATACACATCAAGGATTTCTCATGGCAGGAAGGCCTTCTGATAATGATGGGAGAATCGATACCATGGCCGTAATGAGCTGCAGAGGAGGCCCTTTTTGCAGGCCACCGCCTTCCCAAGACCCATGCTGAGCAGTTTTGAAAGACCACTCATTAATTACCTCCCATATGTGGTGCACAGTTTCAGCCTGCCCCTTGGCCCAAGGGCCCAGCCTGGAGCTGTTGCCCCCTCAGGCGGGGGAGGCAGGGGCCGGTTGTCCCTGGTGTGAAGTGATGGTGGCCACAGGCCCAGGGCTAGGGTCCTGCATGGGATTTGGCTGCCTTTCCCACTGATGTCTGAGTCAGAATTGAAGAGGGCAGGATGGAGGTAGTCCTAATGACAGCAGTACTCTACATTCCTGCACGGGCCCACTCTTGGTTCTGTGATTGTATTTATTTTCCAGAGACATGAAGTCTGTTTACTGACTTTTGCAGGACATGCTAAGTTCCCAACTCTCCCCCATCAGCTCTGTTCACCCATCCTTGATTCCTGAGTTTCTCCTTAGACTGATGGAGATGCCATGGTTGGGTATCTGACTCAGCCAGAGGTAGGGGCACCACCTTCCCCAGGTCCTGAAAAAGAGTGAGGAGCTTCCAGTAGGCCAAGGGAGCCTGGATTCTAGGGCAGCCCTCTCAGAAGAAAGTCTGAGTTAGCTTCCCATAAATCCCTGACCCTGTTGGTCTCCCACCAGGACGAACATGGATTGAAGATTCTCACTGTGCACTCCCTATGCCAACCGCTCCTGGGACTGTGGGCTGCATGAGTTGGCCACTGTGAACCTACAGCCTGTACCCAGAGCACGCCCTTCCCCAGAGCTGCCATGGGGGGCTGGAACTGCCCACCAGGAAGTCTTTGTGCAAGACAGTGCAGAGCAGGTGCACTGTTCAGCCGGGGCTATTTCTGCTTCAGGGAAGTTGGAGAGCTGGGCCCAAGAGCTTGGGATCCAGGCTGCCCCATCTTCCCTCCCTTCCCAGTATGCACAGAGCCTCAGGCCAGTGCTAAGTCTCTGGGCTGCATTTCCCATCCCTTCTCTGTTGGCGGGCTGTGCCTGCTGTTGGGCAGATGTGCCACAGAAAGCAGCAGAGCTTAGGGGCAGGAAGGTTACTGAGGAAAATAGAACCCAGACTTTGAATTCAGACATGTAAGAGATGGGTTAAAATTAGCATCTATTTGAAATTTGAGGCTTGAGCATATGAGTAAGTGCAGGGCCAGGAAGCATGTGACTAAAAAGATACAGGTGGCATCCATGTGTGGTGGTGCTCACCTGACATCCCCACTTATCTGGGAGGCTGAGGCAGGAGGATCAAGTTCTAATCTGGGGAATTCAGTGAGACCCTGCCTCAAAATAAAACATAAATAGGGCTGTGGTATAGCTTAGTGGTAGAGAGCTTGTCTGGCATGCTCAAGGCCTTGGGTTCAATCCCCAGCCTGCAAAATAACACAAACATGGCTCAAGTATTGAAGCAGGTGGCATTCTTGGTTCGGGGCAGGGGCAGGTGAAGGAGAGGAGGCCTGGAGAGGCTCAGCTGGGAGGCAGTGAGCCTGATGGCAATGACGCCTGCCTTCCCTGCAGCCCTGTCTCCTCATGTGGGTTAGAGCTGCTCAGTCCTTCCATGGTGCTCTGCTTTATCCCCTTCTCCCCGTGTGAGGTATAAACCAAATCATGCTGGGTCTCTGGACATGGACCTTCTACATTCCTTGTCTGCCAGAGCTCACAGGTCAGGGGCATGGACACTCGCCCCTGGCCCAACTGGCAGCAGATTCTCAAATCCCCATGTCTGGCAGAGTTGCAGTGGATTCTAGCACATGGGCCCTGGGTAGGGGGGTCCCAGTGCAACTGCCAGCCAAGAAGCCTGGATGCAGCCAGGTGGTCAGCAAGCATCTGCACATCCAGGTGGGGTGGGGAGGCTTCTCTTCCCTTGGGGTCTTGCTTGCCTGCCTGGGCCCAGGTGACCACATCCAGGCATCAAGAGTGTACTCAGACAAATATGACACAAGGACCTGGGGTTTCATTCTCCAGCCTCCCTGGCTTCCAGGAGGAAGGTCTGCTATGCGCCTCTTGACCTTTGTGTGTGGGGTGGCTGGGGCACAGCTCTCCCTGAGGCTGTGGCAATCATGGATTCATAGAAGGGCCTTCCACAGAGCTGCATGCCAGGGGCTTGACTCTCCTCCTCTGGCTCTTGCCTCCCTGGCTGCCAAGTGTAGGGGCTGGCTCATCGGCATCTAAGCCAGCTCCCTTTTCTAGGCAAGAGGCAGATGGAGCATTATCAGATGGGCATTTCTCACTGGTTGTTTTGCTTTTCTGATTGCATCTCTCATATCCCATCACCAAAACCCCACATCTTAAAACCCACAAAGATCAAATTTTGTTTACAGATGTCCTTTGCTTAGAGACTCTCCTTAAACACAGTGTCCAGTTGCCCAACAAACACATGTGCCCCGTATATTCCGAGAGTGTTAGTAGCTCCTTAGAAACACACAACTGAGCTTTAAAGGCAGAGGGTACCTGACAGCCCAAACGTAGCTGGGGATTTCACCTGCCACTCCATCTCATCCTTGCTGATCTCAAATACTATGTTGGCATCCTGGAAGAACTGGTCCATGAGAGGCTGAATATGGTCCAGGTCTCCTGACACCAGTGCGGCATGGTACTCCAGCTCCGGGGACCCTGCTCTAACCTGAGGCTCTTTTTCCATCTTCTGAAAGATCTGAAGCTTTCTTGTGATGGGCTCTGGCCGTCTCTCCATTACAAAGCAGTTGATTTCAGAACAAGTCTTTAGGAGGGGAAAGATGGTCTTGTAGAGTGTGAGCTATTTCTATTGTCATTACTCAATTGTCCTCCAGTTGGGGCCCGATGGTGGTATATTTATAACTCCTGTGGACTCTGATGTGATAATGGTTACTTGATATGACCAGGGTCATATGATCACTGAGATGCCACAGTGCTCAGCCACCCCTGTGACTCTATAGATGCTAGCCTCAGAGAAAGACACATCTGTCTATCTCAAAACTGCTCTCCACGTGTCTGGGGAAGATGCCCAGCACACACGTTTAGCTGTGATGGACTCTTCTCTTTCATCTGCTATTTGGGTGGATGACTCCCCAGATGCCTCTCTGCTGCTCAGAGTGCATTCTCTCATAGTTTCCACTGTCAGGAGGATGGAGCTGAAAGGCCCTCCCTTGTCGGTGTTCTCCGTGCTGTTTTTGAATGGCTTGGGAACTAAGAATGGTTTCTAATTTATAAATGCTTGGGGAAAAAAAAATCAAAAGAGGACTATTTCCTGACATGTACAATGACAGGAATTCAAATTTCAGTGTCCATGAATACAGTTTACTGGATCCCCTCCGTCTCATTCATGTCCATGTTGTCTGCTGCTGCTTTCAAACTCAGCCTGGCAGGCTTGCATAGGTTTGACAGTGACAGATGGCCCACAAAGCCAGAACGGTTTTATTCTCCAGCTCTTTGCAGGAAAAAGTTGACTCCTGGTCTTGAAGTGGAGAGAGCTAGCCAACCCCTCCCAGCAAAGGCTCATTCGTAATTCTTACTAATACACCATTAAAAAGTAGGCGAGGCCTCTCCTGCCCACTCTGCAGGGCCTCCTTCTGCTTCCTGTCTCACTCTCTGTCTCTGTGGCTGTGGCCACCAGTGAGTGAACATTTGATCTGAGGGCTGCATCAGCCCCTAAGAAGCAGGCCCAGCTGGAGGCTGCAAATGACCAGGCTCTGCATGAGTGTCCCTTGGTGGGGACACCAGGACTTCCCTCAGGCATCCTCTGAGGTGGCGGCGGCCTGTAGTTACTTCCAGTGACTGAGAATATATCCCTAAATGTGCATCCTTGCTCAAGATGAGAAATGCCACAATTTAAAAAAACCCGAATAATTAGTTTTTTTAAAAAAAAATTAATAACTAACCATATGTGAGCATTCCTAATCTGAAAATCTAAAATGCTCCAAAAATCTGAACCTTTTTGATATGTAATTTTGGATTTTGGAGTGTTTTGGATTCGGGGTGCTCAACTAGTAAAATCTACACAAATGTTCCAAAATCTGAAAAACTCTAAAATCTCAAACACTTCTGGTCTCAAGCATTTTGTATAGGAATAGTTGTTATTTACTACAGTTTTAGTTCAGGGCTTTAAATACAGCTCTTTTCCCACCTTATATTGTAAATCAAACTATCACACACACACACACACACACTCACATACTTTATGGCTCTTGCTCATTCTCCCTAGGAAGTTGGTCTGTCCACATGCATCATGATAAAGGCAGGAAGAGGGTCAGGAGGGCTGTGCCTGGCTGGCTGAGGGAGGAACAGTGAGGTCTGCCAGGAGAGCTGAGCCCAGGGAGGGTGATATATCCGCCATCCATGCCCTGCCAGCAGGAGACACGGGACCCACGCATCTTGTGCCCATGTGGTGTTGCAATCCAGTAAACAGCTCAGAAGCGACAGGAAGGCAGACGCGAAGTCAAGCTGGAGAGTTCATCCAGGCAGCACGTCCTCGGTCACAGTCAGAATTCACAAGCACCCTCTTACCCCATGTCCCGTCTCTGTTCTGCACATGGAGGCTGCCGGTGACTCCCCTCCTCTCTGAGCTCCACCAGAGCTGTGGGCCCCAGAGCAAACAGGCTCTTTATTTCTGACAGTAACCTGGTCTCTGGGCTGCCCCTTCCTGAACACCTCCAACCAAGGGAGTCCGGCAGAGGAAGGCGTGCCTTCACCCTTGGCGTGGACTGAGTCCAGGCACCACTGTGGGTACAGACCGACCCGAGGCCCAGAGGTTGCCCACAAAAGGTCAAACCCACTCCTGCGCCACAGAGGATGTGCTGGGGCGATGGGCCCTGTCTGTCTGTCTGGGTGGTCCTCACGCAGACAGATTCAGGTACTGATCATGCCATAAAAGCAGAGGCTCATGTCGGTGAGGGACAGCTATGCCTGGGGTCGGGCCGCTTGGACATGAGCCGTACATAGTTGCTCCGTTTTTTAGTAGCAATGTTAGGCTCCTCGGATATTTCATTTCTCTAAGCATAGCCGTTGGGCCATTTTTTCTACAACTGATTATTTGTAATTAGATTTCTGAAAGACTTATTCAAGCACAACTGTATTATTATCATTATTATCAGCACCAGGGATTGAACCCAGGGGCACTTAACCACTGAGGCACATCCCATGTCCTTTTCTGTATTTTACTTAGCGACAGGGTGTCACTGAGTTGCTTAGAGCCTAGCTAAGTTGCTGAGGTTGGCTTTGAACTCATGATCCTCCTGTCTCAGCCTCCCTAGGGGCTGGGATTCAGGTGTGTGCCACCATACCTGGCTCAAGCACAACTTTAATATGACCCTGCTTGAGTGGCATTTCACTTTAAACTGGAGGATTTTTTTTTTGTACTTGATATAATTTGTTGTGGGGTATTTTAAAAAGGGATGGGGCTCTGAGGGGAGTCCAGGGGAGAGGCCACTCTACGTCCTTCTAGGCTAAATTTAGCTTCCATGTGTTTTTGTCAACAGCTCCCTAAATATCCAAGCTTGATTTCAGTAGTGGGGAGTAGTAGTCAAGAACAGGCTTGGTGCTTTGTGAGAGCTTTAAAAATAGCCCACGATGACAGCACTGCCTCATAAGTGGGGCATGGGGGTGACTCCAAAGGCCTGGCACAGAGTTTTTTTTTTTTTTAAAGACAAGAATAGATACACTATTGACAATTATATTAAATAAACAAACCTGAAAACCAACCCTTCCATTCATGTATTTGTTCAATAAACATTTATGTAATCTTTATGTTTCAGGGTAGGAATTTTGGGGATTCAGAGGTGTAAATGACAGTACCCCTACCAGCAAGGATCACTCAGGAAAGAGCAGTGGCCAGGGGACCCCAGTAGACAAGAGTTGGTTACTGTTCTTTCTCGCCCGCTGGATGACATCCTTTAGGGATTCAAGTGTCACTGTTACCTGACCCAGTGTTCCTGGTTGGGCTCCTCCTTGCCCCCTGCACCCCAGTTTTGCCATCCATACCTTGTTGGTCAAGCTATTTTTGTGTCATTTTTATCGCCTTCATCCCTCAGCTTGTCAAACCCAGGGCCTAGCCTCAAGATGCAACTCAAGTCTTCTCTGCTCTGCTACCTTCAGTCCACAGGAAAGCTCAGCTTCTTTCAAGAGTAAATATGCATCCGAAGTTGCCAGAATTTTGGAGGGAATTTTGGTGGAACATCAGGACCTGAAGGCTGGAGTTTTAGTTGTCAAGTTGGAAAAGAATAGGGATTCCTCAGATTCTCGAGCTTCACATTAACCCTTGGAAAGTCCCCTCATGGCATTATGGAAACGATGGTTTGGGAATATTTAGAAAAGGACTGGGATCACTTGGAGCTTGGGGAGTCCCTAAGAACATGGCCAGGTGGACCAGAAGAATTGTCTCTGGTGACTTGGTTATTCACTTCCAAGGAGGGGCTGTAGCAGCCATTGTGCGTATCTCAATGTTTAATGGAAAGTGTTATGAAAACTTTTGGGAGAAGTTGAAAAAACGATGTGTCTTTGTGCTGAGCATTCCGTCCCACAATTGTGTAGGAAGACGATGAGTCCTAAAACTGACAGTGTGTTTACTGTGGGGAGCTGGGCCTGCAGAGCCCCAGCCTGCCCTGTTCTCGCACAGCACTCCCTTTACAGGGCCGTGTGAGGCTACATCTTAACTACAGCAAAACACATGGGAGACAAGGAACTGATTGGCTAGTTCTAAGAAACATTTTCCCCAGTGGCAAAACAGGCTATGTTCTCATTTAATGCCAGGACACAGACACCTAAAGTACACAGCAGGTCGCGCCGCTGGGGCCTTGTGTTTCTCCTTAAACAGGGTCATCGTGCCCCACAGGAACGAGCCTGGTGTGGGAGCTGTTGCTGTGCTGCCGCCTGCAGCCTTCCAGCTCCTTGGCTTGGGCTGAGGAACTCTGCATTTAGATTCTTCAGGGTGCGCTTTCCATGACCTCAGGAGAGGGGATCCCAACATCTTTCTTTGGGAAAATTTGGTTAAAAAACTCAACCTGGAGAAATAACATACACAATGCCTCTAGAAGAGTGCCTCAAACCTCGGCCATGAGGTGGACTCGCCCATGAGCTGTAACGATTGCTGGTGCCCGGCTCTGGGGCAGAGAGGCTCTGGGGTGGTGTCGGGCTCAGCATGGCTCAGGACTGCCGGAAACTCTCCAGGTGCTGCTAACGGGCAGCAGGGCCGGGAACCACTGCTCCAAAAGGAAGCCACAGAGCCTGGCTTCAGCCCGACCTTGAGCACATGCAGAGTTGGGTATCAGAAAGGTGGCATGGAGCAGGACACAGTCAGAGTTCCTAAAGATGGTAACAGGCCAGAGCAAAGGGCTGAGTCCATCCACGCCCCGATCTGACATCCAAACTTCTGACACACAGGATCCTGCTTCCTTGTGAATTTTGTGGCATAAGCTGCCGCTCCTTGCTGTGGCTTCTCCTGTTGCTCTTTCTAGATTTTTCTCTTTCTTCTTTGTAAGCTCAGAGTGTTTGGGACTGTGGGTGAGTTGATGTTGGCACCCATGTTTAGATGGCATAAATGCAGCAAGTCACGGAAGCTGCTTCACAACATGCAAAGCGTGAATGTGCAGCCAGAGAAACTG